CAGTGGTCATAAACTAAATGAGTGGAGAAGTTGGAAGTTCCCAAGATGGCATTAGGTGGCTATATTCTGTCTCAGCTCAGCTCAGGGAAATAAAACTGTCAAACGACAGGGTACATCCATTGGGTTGGTAAAGTTTTCTTTTCTTTTTTTTTTTAAGATTTATTTACTTATTTATGCTTACAGAACTGGGGTACAGGCCAGAGGTGTGGTGGGTGAGAGGGTTCACCAGAGACAGAGTGGGGAGCAGAACAGGCAGATTAATGAAGGACATTACTGAGGGGAGCAGCGGGCTGGTCAGGAAAGGTCTGCCGCGCCATGTGGGTCAGCTCCCTGGCTGGGGATCAAACTGGTAGTGCAGTGGCTATGGAGAGCTTCAGAATGCAATGCTTTAACACATTGCACCACCAGGGAGAGCCAAAGTTTTCTTTAAAAAAAAAAAAAAGACTAAAAGATTATTTATGCATACAGAAACTAGGATACAGGCCAGAGGTATTGGAGGTGGTAAGAGGATTCACCAGAAACAGAGTGGGGAAAAGAACAGGCAAATTGACTGAAATACACTGCTGAAGGGAACAGTGGGTGTGACAGGAGAGGTCTGCTGCGCCATGTGGGTCACCTCCACATCAGGGTTGAACTCAGGACGCAGTGGCTAGGGAATAGCTACCTAGTGCTGTGCTTTAATCCCTTACACCACCAGGGAGGCCTTAATGTCTTATTTCTTAAAAGGGATGACAGGCACATAGCTATGGTTATGTTAATTTTTTTTGCTTTTTTGCATGTTTTGGTAAACTTGTCTATCTTTTGATTTTAAAAATTATTCAAGGCCTCATGGCAAGTCAGTAGCTATTTCGAACCCATGTTTTTTTGTTTCCCAGTATGCCATGCTGTCCACTGGAGGACACAGACAATGGCAGTGAATATGGAGAACAAATGTTGCTTATTCTGTTTTCTTTGTGTAGACCGTAGATAGGCAATTGCTCGGTGACTTTGTATACCAGAGGCAATCTTGAAAAACGTGCTATCAAATATTTATCACTTGAATCATGTTTTCCTACTGCCTTATATTGTAATGATTTAGAACTGTTCCTACAAAAATATTCCTGACAAAGCCTAATAAAAAGCCACACCAGCACCCCCACATTCATTTCAAATAACTTCGTTGATGCAGAATCCTATAGCTATTCCATCCTCTGAAATAGATTCAGCAGTCAGATAATGAATTTGTATTCTTCATTTAAAGTGCCCTTTATATTAGCATGCGCCACAAAATTTGTTCCTATTTTCTTGAGTGTTCCCACTTACTTCATCTGTATCCATTTAGGAACATAGCAGGAACCCCTTCACTACCTTCTTTATTCAAAATTAATAAATATTCACTGAGAGCTCATCAGGTTTGAGGCACTCTGGGAGGTGCTGGGAAATGGTAAAACAGATTTCCTAGTCCAGCTGAGCTTTCAGTTTTCTGGAGGAGACAGATAAGTGAGGCTGGTGACTCCAGCACATGGAGAGATGGTGCTGAGAGGCTGTGCTGAGGGGGTGTGTTGAGAGGCCCCACTGGAGGACAAAGATGAGGGGCCTACCCCAGTCAATTTGGTAGAGGAGGCCTTTGAGAAGAGGTGTCATTTAAGCTGTTTCTATGGGAGAAGGGAGATTTAGTATCTAGATCAGAAAGCAACTTAACTGTTCCTCTTCAGAGGGTTCAGCTGTCTGATTGTGGAGTTTCTATTGTTAAAATGCAAGAGCAAGCAAATACAAAATTCTAGGGTGTCTCCTACCTGAGAAAAAAAGGCCTGTGGTCTTCTAGACAGTGTTCTTGCTGTGTGTTCAAGACACATGACATTGTGTGAACTGGAGTCCCACGACCCTTTGTCTAGAGTGCTGACCCCACCCCCACCCATGTGAGCGAGTTAGGGTGGATGTACTAGCAATGGGAGTAGAACTGCCTGATTTCCTTTTCTCTTTTAAAGGTTTATTTATTTATGCATACAGAACTCGGGTACAGGCCAGAGGTGCAGAGGCAGCAAGCGGATTCACCAGAGACACAGTGGGGTGCAGAACAGGCAGATGGACGAAGTACACTGCTGAGGGGAGCAGTGGGCGGGCCAGGAGAGGTCTGCTGTGCCGTGTGGGTCATCTCTAGGGCGGGGATCAAACTCATGCTGAAGTGGCGTTAGCTTCTTAGTGCTGTGCTTTAACCCGCTGCACCACCAGGGAGGGCCCTCCTCCACCTTCTAAAAAAAATCCCTCTTGACCTATTTAGCTAAGAGAAGTGGCCTGAGTTCAGTCTGTGCACCCCAGAAGGAAGGATCTGCACAGAGGCTAGGAAGAGCAAGGGAGGGGTTGCATCACTGCAGCCAGACCCCCTCCATTTTGAAACAAAAAACTCCCCAAGACTAAAAATTTGGGATAAGTGGAATTAAACTCTAACCACCCTTTGTTCTGTCTTCCCTCCCTCTGGCCCCCCCATGATTAACTGGCTCCACACACATTCCTGAGAACTGGGGAAATGGACTGTGGTGTGGCCTAATACAGTTCTCTGTGTCTCCCTGGAGTGAACAGTGGCACCACAGCAAACATCTGCTGATGGCTGAGAAAACACCTGCTGGGGAAGTCAGACACCTGGACTCAGGCCACCTGGTCTGCTTGGCACTTCCTGGGGTCTGGACATGTGAAGCCTGGACTCCCCTCCAGTGGGCCAGGTGAGTAAATGCCTCCAAAGGAAGACTTTTCTCCCAATTCTGAGTCCGACTTCTTGGGTGCAGAGGTAAGACCTGGTGTGGGCCTTAACACAACTTCATTATCACTCACCAGTGCTGATTCCATCTCATCCTCTCGGCCCTGCCTCATCAGGGGAGCTTGTGGTGGGGTTATTCTAAGGTTGAACACCGATGTGACTGCATGAGGTTTGCTAAGGGGCCTGATTTCCAGGAGCTGCTGGAGCTGAGGTCCCCAGGAAGTGATGCATTAGAAGCAAGACTTACTGCCTAGTGCCCTCATCTTGCCAGTTAGAAGACACACTGAACTCAGAGAATAGGATATAGAATTAATAACCTAAATGTTTATTAATTACAATGAAGATCTAAATGTTTATGGACTATGATAGACTCTAAGATCACAGTTTCTATTTTTAAACAAATGTAGCCATTATAAAAACTTTAAGCCAGAAAGTGATTTTTTTTTTAAATACAAAGAAATCTAGTACAAGCAAAGATAACATTTCAGGGTATCATCAATGAATTTTCACAGAGATTTTCCATTACAATAATACTCATTTATATCTTCAGTCCCACATAGCAACAAAGTCACAGTGAGAAAGACAGCAATTGCTTCTGACAGAAAATCAAAGAGGCCTCAAGCGATTATTTTTTCAAAAGGATCTTGGGAAGTTGAAATAAGGCCTGCTTCTCCACGGGCTGACAATGTTAACTGTGATGGGAACAGCAGCATCTTTTTCTCTGATTTTACCTTTGAACAAAATAAAAGGAACTCAGTGTAACATTCCCCCCTCACAAAGAGTTGCAGAACTCAAGACTAAGCCCCAAGAAATCCTCTAATCAAAGTAAATACCAATCTTGCTCCTACAAATGCTGTTAATAGCACAATTTAGCATTCAATAGAATTTCTTCTACTCACTAATCTGTCTCTGAATTTTTAAAACAGTCTTCCTGGACTGGAAGAATAATTCCAGTAGTGGGAAATGACAAAAATGCTGAAGCTTTGGCTCTACTGTATTGTTAAAGATGCACAGTATTCAGTAATGAAAGCACACTAGAGAAAACGGCGCTCATTATTGGAGTCACAGGGTTTCTGTAGGAAGGCCAGGTCTCCGTAGTGTGACAATGTGCAATGCCTTATGAGGTCTGTATCAGACAGACTAGTCCTTTCACAAATAGTGTCCCTAATTAACACAAACATCTATCCCATCCAGCCTGTCAACCTCGGATGGAAGCCTTTTGCTGATTGCTACCCATAGAAAGAGCTGAGCACGTGTCACAGATTTAAAAAAAAAAAGAAAAGAAAAGAAAAAATTGGAGCCTAATGAAACTGCAAAACCACATAGATGTCATGAGGTTAGTGCAGTGATGTTAGAGAGACTCAGATTGCAATAAAGTCTCTGCAGGTAAGCACCCTGCAGGGCAGGACCAGAAAACAAGCAGAGAAGAAAGAAAACAGCCCAGTGAGCTGGTAACAGGTGCTTCACGAAAGACAAAACCGAATGTCAAAAGATTAGAGAAAGCACTGAGTATTTTTTCAAATGACCCTATCTATACTATTATTCCAAAAATGAAGTGTGAAATAACATAGACAAATACTGCCAAACAGCTTTCCTGAAAAATCCCCCAAAGCCAACATTTGATTCCTTCTGAACGCTAGAACATAGTTTTACCTTTATTATCTGAAGACTTTTTTTTTCTTCAGAGAAAGCCTTCATCAGTTTATAAATTTTGACCATGAAATTGTGCCTCAAGTACTACTGACTGTCATCAGCAGCAGAGCCCTGGGTCACCAGTTTGTGTTCTGCACTCACGTTTGCTCCTGCAAGGCTGTGATGTGTGTTTCCAAACCTCTCTGAGACTAAATCTCTGGCTAGTCTGAAGCCTTCCAACTGGGAGGCTCTTCTAAATGTTCTCTGTCAAGAGGTCTTTTATCCTTCTGCCCTGGGATGTCCTATTCTTTGACAAATAGTGTCCCTAGTTAACACAAACATCTATCCCATCCAGCCTGTCAACCTGGGATGGAAGCCTTTTGCTGATTGCTACCCGTAGAAAGAGCTGAACACGTGTCACCGATTAAAAACTTTAAAAAATTGGAGCCTAATGAAACTGCAAAACTGGCAAAAACACATAGATGCCATGAGGTTAGTGGCAGTGATGTGCTCCTTAGGTCACTGTGAAATCTTTGACCTTGACTCTTCAACTGTTCATGGGAGAGGGAGCTGCTGACTTCATACATCTTCGGGGATATTTCCTTTGCCGTGTGCCTTACCAACAACACATAGCTCAGGAGCGGCCTTGTTTCCTGGCCCCTGCTGCGGAGTCCTCTTTTGTCCCTCTTGGTTTCAGTATGGCGACTTCTCCCTTATAGGGTTCACGCATCACGGGAGTAGGTGTGCAAACCTGAAACAGAACATTTTATTTCACACCTGTGGTTTATCAACTTCAAGTTCAAAACTAAATGAATTGGGAGAACAAGAAGAATCTCTTGAATTTCTTCCCCTTGCACTTTCACAGAAATTCCTTGCAATCTCAGTTACCAAAGTTGCCCCAGTATAGCTACTGTAATCCTGCTTCAGACAAAATTCTAGGGTATGCTTTCAAAGGAATATTCTTTCTTTTGAATACTCTGGGCTTTCACTTCAGCTTTCACTGCGGCCTCTTCTATCTCCTCACACCCTGCAAGTGTTATAAATGCTTTACAGTCCTTTCAAACCTTCTACCATTTCCTCTAGTTTCAATTCTCTATTGCTCTATTTCTGGAGCCTTCTGGAAGCTGTACACACCTAAGCATTTTGCTTCACATTCCAGCAACGTGTGTGTGTGCTTTCCCCCTCATTTTTCCAGTGTCTTTTGTGTGTCACTGGCCTTTCACAGACTCACATCTCTAGCTGCAACTCTAGGTGACCCAAGAAGCAGCAAAACCCTTGCTGAATTCAGTAAGTTCATTCAGTGCTTGAGCAGAGCTTCAAAATCTAGTTTTTATAAACAACAGAATTCACAAGAAGCAACTAAGTCATACTTGTGTAAACATGCACATAAATTTACCGACAAGACAAGCAGCAAACCACAGCAATTAAGAGCACAAACTCTGAGTATGCTCGGATTGCCCGAGTATGTTACGTAACTGTACTTCCGCTCCATTCTTTGTGGACTGGGGTTAAATAACAGCATTTACTTTATAGTGTGGATGTGAGGATAAAGGTAAGTAAAGCAATAAAGATAATGCCTGAATATAATAAGCTTTTTACAGTTAAATAACTAAACATGTGTGTGTGCATGCATAGTGTACAATACAATACATAGAAAGACAAATGTAGCAAATTGTGAGTCTCATTCTGACCACCCAACCAAAAATATTGCTGTGATCAACAAAGTAGGCTTTGTGAAAGAACAGACAAAAGTAAATCAAAACAAATCCTGCAGACATAATAAAACCCCTCTGAGCCCACGCACTCATTTCCCAGATACAAAGCATTTCCTTCACTCATTCTATGGCTCTATATTGAGCACACACGGTCCCAAATATTTTGCCAGGTACAGAAGATGAAGCAGAGAACAAGACAAACTGTCCCTATAGTCCTGGAACTTGATGCTTGACATTGAACTTCGGGAGACCTCTGCCCTCCTCTCACCAGTTCAAGCCTCGACTGCCTTGGACTACTTTCTTTGTCTGGCTAAATGCTTCGCTGGACCCCTGCCTTGGCTCACTGCTGACTCAGCCCTTCTCTCCACTCTGGGTCCTGCCATCTGCAGGACACATGACAAAGCCGCACCCCCTACCCTTCCCTCATGGGTTTCTGCCACCAAGTCCCTTGACATGCAGTTACCTGGAGCCAATCCTGTAAGCTGGGACTCTACTGAGTATACAGGGCACTAAGCACAATTAGCAGGCATAATCCAGGACTACCTGAGCAAAACAGGAGTTATTTCCACCTTCCTTCAACGCCTCTCGTCTATAATCTAAAAGATCTTACCTCTCTTTGCCTTTTAGCCTTTTCAGTCGGAAGACCCGTGGCATATTTCGGCTCAGTCATCAGCCTTTTCTGCAGCAAAAGCCCCTGGAGAGTGTGGCCCAGTGCGCACACCTTTGTCTCCTGCCTTCACGCCGTGCATCCGTCATGCACACCTATCCTTCTCCTTCTAACCCAGAGACTTGGAAACCCTTTACACTTTCATGCTGTGGTTTCTCCTGGAATGCTGCTTGGGAACGGATGGCTGACACCAGTGATGTAGGGTGGGTTGTCAAGACTGGCCATTTGGGGGGCTTGCTCTGCAGGCTGATTGGTTCTGAGAGGACCCCGGGACCCAGCTGCAGGTTAAGAGCAGCATAGGGCTCAAGCCAGGGAGACCAGCGTCCTTCTTAGTCCTTAGTATCTTTCTGCCTGTCCATGCCTCTATCCATGTTTGCCTTTTTTGCCTAGATAGATCTGTGGGGGGTTCTTGTTTTTTT